GCTTTGGTCAAGTGGAAACCTTAAGAACAATTAATGGAAATAACATTAAACAGTACATTATATTATAAATTTTGTTTAATTGGCAATTATAAGACAACAAAGAACAGAGGGAGCATCCCAGGAACACAACTCTATACATCATATATGAGTCACTTGTGCTTTCATAGCAATAGCAAGATAGAAAATCGACACTTGGGAGAAGGGGAAACCTGAGACTAAAAGTCAAAGGGAAGTTGTCATGTTCTATGGAACAGGACCCAGGCAGTATTTTCTACAGCAAAAAGGAGCAGAGATAATTTTCTTGCAGTGTTCAGCCTCACAGATAGAACTTAGGAGGCAAGAGCTTGAAAGCTTAGCAGAAAAACTAGGCACCAGTTGTGATTAAATTAGGATATAAAACAGAGGTAACTCCTCTGATGGTGATCATGGTACTCAGGTGGAGCAGACACAGATGGAGAGAAGCGAAGGCATCAGCACCCTCAGCTCTATCTGATAGCAGAAGAGAATGAGCCCAAGAGAAGGCGAGCAGCCCGTGAGACCATGAGTGAGTGGAAGCACTTCAGTGGTTGTAGCTCTTCCAGCTGGAGGAGGAGGTGGTGTACTTGATGGAGGAACTGCCGCCCCCAATGGGGCTGAGGCCACCTCCCAGGCCTCTGCCGCTGCCGGAACTGAAGCCTCCTCCCAGGCTGTGCCCACTGCTGTAGGAGTAGCCGCTGCCTCCACCCAGGCCTGAGCAACCGCCGACACTGCTGGCATTGCCATAACCACTGGAGACGGAGGACTGCACTATGGCTGCAGTGGGAGGAGACAAGGACAAGACACAGTGAGCTCATTCTGCCAGGCTGAGCCCCGTCAGAAGAGTGCAAGCACAAGAGAGGGAGGCAAGCAAGGTACTTACAGATGTTGACTTGGCCAACGCCTTCACCATTTAGCCTAGGAGGAGAGGAAACAGGGAGGATGAGACCTCAGAGAGCCATGGCCTGGATCAGTGTGGAAGACTCAATGTGGGAAATAGTCAAAGGGAATTGTTCTTTTATTTGTTTCTAGGAATAGCAAGTATGGCCATGACTGGAGACCTGACGTTGTCCTTAGACCCAGACATCTTCAAGGTGAAAGATGCTTGAGCAGGTCATGAGTTACCCACACTCAATGTGGGAAATAGTCAAAGGGAATTGTTCTTTTATTTGTTTCTAGGAATAGCAAGTATGGCCATGACTGGAGACCTGACGTTGTCCTTAGACCCAGACATCTTCAAGGTGAAAGATGCTTGAGCAGGTCATGAGTTACCCACCTGCACTCCTCGCCTTCAAGCAGCTTGCGGTAGGTGGCGATCTCCACGTCGAGGGCCAGCTTGACGTTCATCAGCTCCTGGTACTCCTTCAGCAGGCGGGCCATGTCCTGCTTGGCCTTCTGCAGGGCATCCTCCAGCCCTTCCAGCTTATTCCTGGCATCCTTGATGGCCATCTCTCCACGCTGCTCAGCATCAGCAATGGCTGAACTGACTCAAGGTTGGTGCACTGGAAGGGGAAGAAAGCAAATAGAATGAATTTAAAATCTGGCCTTTCATAGGAGACTAAACCTAATTCTTCTTTCCCACTAAGGAAGAGTCAAGGAGCCCAGAGTAATGGTGATGGAACTCTGACTCTTCCTGTCCAGTCTTTTTATTGTCTTCAATTTTTTTAGATCCAGAACCATTCAACAAAAACCTATGGCCCTTTGTTTTAACTATACTGGGTGGTAATTGATGGATGAAAGTTCAGAGGACACAAGACCAGGGACATTAGAAGATTTTTTTTTTTTTGCATTTGTCAATAAATTCTTTTTTAAAAATTAATTTCTTTTTATTGTCATCATAATCTTCTTTATATTACACTGGATTACATATAACTGTACAGTGTATTACATTGCTTTTTCAAAAGGGAATGCCATGCATGTCAGTCAATACAGAGACACTAATCTCCCCACTTCATCACTCAATATATTTTCTATGTTTTTCCCAATCATTATTATTATTATTCTAAT